CGAGGGGGTGAGCCCCCTCTGGTAGCCTCCTCTGGCCTGCTTGCGCCTCCGAGTGGGGCCTCTGAACTTCGCCTGGTCCGCGAGAGGCTGCGCGCTGAAGGGGCCCCCCGCGCTTCGGGCGAAACCCCCCGATATAGCTCAGACGAAGTCGGCCTGGGCTGGGCCTCCCACTGCTCCTCCCCCCGCAGCAGTGGGTGGTTCTCCCACTGAGGCTTCGGAGGCATGGCGTGGAGCCCCCCCCCCCCAAAAAAAAAAATTGGGCACAGTCGGGGCGCTGAAGAAGGAACCCTTTTCGCTGGGGAGGGGCTCGGTGTCCCTTGAATGTTTCAAAGTTTGCCTCGTGTTTTCCTGAGGGCTTCCATAGGAAATCGAGGTTTAACTTATGGGAAAAAGGGGCCTCGTTCCTCATTTGGGGTTCCTCAGGTCAACGCCCCGACTGCATGGCGTGGAGCCCCCCCCGGGGCCCCCCCCCCGCCCCCCCCAAAAAAACGGGTATGGCCCCGCAGCCCGGGCGGGAGCGGTGGCCGCGTCCTGCGCAGGGCCGCACCCTGCAGGCGCGGGCCCCGCCCATGCAGGCCGCCCATGCATGGCGTGGAGCCCCCCCCCCAACAAAATGGGTATGGCCCCGCAGCCCGGGCGGGAGCGGTGGCCGCGTCCTGCGCGGGGGCCGCACCCTGCGGGCGCGGGCCCCGCCCACATGCAGGCCTCCCGGGGCGCGGCCTCGCTCGCCGGGGGGCGGCGCCGCGGGAGGGGGCCCCCCGGCGGTGTGGGGGCCCCCTCCTTCCTCCTCCTCCTCCTCCTCTTCCTCCCCTCCTCCTCCTCTCTCTCTCCTCCTCCTCCTCCTCCTCCTCCTCCGCCTCCTCCTCCTCCTCCTCCTCCTCCTCCGCCTCCTCCTCCTCTCCCTCGGGGACCCCGAGGCGTGGTGAGCCAGACCCTCTTGAGTCACGAAGAAGTCCCAGACAGGATCGCGCCATAACAAGGTCAGGGCGCGAGGCTTTGGGCTATTTTGGGCCCCGAGGGGCTTTCGCCGGGCCTCGGGACCGTCAGAAAACGATTCAGGACGACAAACCCGGTCCCGGGGAAAGGGTCTGGACTTCCGGGGACGCCTGGCAAGAAATGACGACGGAGGGTGTTTCGCTATTTTCGGCTTCGGGGGCCCTTGCCAGGTCTCGGGACCGTCCACAAAAAGATTCGGGACGACCATTAGGTCCGGGAGAATGGGTCGAGAACTCTCTGCGCGGCGACGTTGCGACAAAATCATGACGTCGGGGGTCTGGGCAGCCATTGGTATCTTCTGGAGTTTTCAAATCGCTTCGTCGGCTCCTGGGGGTTTTCCTGCCTCGGGATGCGATCCAGCATATTCGCCTCGCCGAGGGCGTTCCAGGGGTGCCCGGATCCTCCCGAACGGCCGCCAGAGACCAGAGTAACGGCCCGGAAGCCGAACATTCGGAGGATCGATTACCCGTAAGAGTAGCCATTCGCTGGGGTGACTTTTGGTGAGGGCCCATTGAGGTCCCCCGATCGCCGAGCGCGATTGCGATAGTAGCGTCTTGCGCGTCTGTGTCTGGCCCCCCGCGGCGCCCAAGAAGCCGCACACCAAAGGTCACGCTTGCCCAGGGTCCGCCTGGTCAGGCAGTGAGGAAATCCTGGAGGCCTCGCGCGGCGCGTAATAGTAGCAAGATCTAGTCCACACGTCAGTTCCGTGAGCTATGGACTATGGGTCGCTCGCGCGGCGATGCTCTGGAGTCAATCCGACGTAAATCCGACGTGAACCTGACGTGAGTCCGACGTGGATCCGACGTAAATCGGGTCTCAAGTTGCCGCGCGAGGCTTCCAGGATTTTCCTTCTTCTCCTCCTCCTGCTCCTCCTCCTCCTCCTCCTCATCCTCCACCTCCTCCTCCTCCTCCTCCCCCTCCGTAGCCATCTTGCCTAAAGCCATGTTGGCTCAAGCCATCTTGGCTCAAGCCATCTTGGCTCAAGCCATCTTTGGCTCAAGCGTTCGCACGCCTTGCCTGGGTCGCCCGTCCCCGACGACCGCTCGCGGCGAGGCTAGAGTTGTGGAGGGCGATCAACGGAGAGGAAGCATGCTGCCACCAATTTTCCAGATGTCTAAAACATGTTTCAAACATGCTTTAAATATGTAAGAACATGCTTGAAAACGTTTTTAGAACAGGTTTTTGTTTACACAGTTTAAACACAGTGTTAATTCAATGATCGGATTGTTAGAGTGCCCGTTGTCATGGCATCCAAAAGGCTAGAGGGGCTCCCGCTTCCGCCGACGCCGCCGCGCTAGTCGCCGCGGTCCTTCGCGCGGCGGTGGTCGCCCGCGCGCCGCGGCGCAGCGTCGCTGCCGCCGCCCGCTCCGCGTGCTCGGCCTTGGCCTGCGCTGTGGCTGCGCCGCGGGAGCCGCGCGACGCGGGCGCTGGTGCTCCGGCTCGAGGTGATGATTCCGGGGGTGGACGGAACCCCCACCATGACACGTCGATTAGTGAATTGTCCGTTTTCGGTTTTTCAGAGGGCGCCGCGGCCGTCATTTGCCAGGCTTGCGCCCGCCATGTTTGGGCCCCAGGTCGTTTTCACGGAACCACGTTTTGCTAAGGGGTATCTGTCCATCCCCGAATCATGGTGTTCGGACTGGTGGCGACGCGGACCCGACGGTGCGGGCGGCGCGGCGGCGGCGCCGCCGCCAGCGCCGTTCGGCGCGGCGTGCGGCCGCCAGGATGAACACCGACCCGTCGTCGGCGGCGGAGCCCCCTGCTGCTGGCGCAGGCCGCGGGCTGGAGCTGGTGGCCGTGGCGACCTCCGGAGACGACGACGACGACGACCCCATGGGCTCGGCGGACGACGCGTGGGCGGCTGACGGCGGGCGGCTCGCTGCTGGCGCGGCTGGCGGCTCGGCGGTGGTCGGCTCGGCGGCCGGCGGCGCCCCCGGCGGCGCGTGCCGCTGCGGCGATGGCGGCGGCGGCGGAGACGGTGGTGGCCGGCAGAGCCGTGGGCTCCTCGCAGGTGGCGGCGGCGGCGCCGTCCATGGCGGAGGCCGATGCTGGGGTGGCGCGCCTGGGCGAGGTCAGGGGCGGCGCGGACGTGATCAGCGAGGCGCGTGGGCGTCTCCAGCGGCGCGCCGCCGACCTCCAGGGGCGCCGGGGCCAGCGCGTCAGGGGCGACGGGCCGCTCGACGACGACGAGCTCCTCGCCGCTGTCGGGCTCCTGGAGAAGGAGCTTGCGGGGCGGGGCGGTGGTGTCGCTGCGGGTGGCCGCGGTCCTCCTCATCATCGGCGTCTTCGGCCTTGACTCCGTCGCGGGGGTCACGGTCGGGGGGCGGTGCGGGCCCCCCGTGTGCATAGGATTGCTTTGGGCTTCGTCGTGTGGGTCATCAAGCTCACTGGGTGCCGCGCCTGACGGCCCTCTCCGCTACTATGAGCCCTAGGAATGGGGTCTGTGGCTGTTGATGTCAACATCCTCCTCCTCCTCCTCCTCCTCCTCCTCCTCCTTCCTCCTTCCTCCTTCCTCCTTCCTCCTTCCTCCTTCCTCCTCCTCCTCCTCCTCCTTCTCCTCCTCCTCCTGCTCCTCCTTCCTCCTCCTTCCTCCTTCCTCCTCCCTCCTCCTCCTCCCTCCTCCTCCTCCGCCTCCTCCTCATAAGACTCGGGGGGGCACCGCACGGTTCTGGGACCCGGGCCGTTTGCCGAGGGCACCTACAGGGCGAATCGGGGCCTCCAGGGTCCCAGGCCCCGTGCGCGGCGGACCGCGCGGCGAGGTCGCGAGGGGCTCCGGGGGCACCACGCGGTCCGTCTCCACACTTTGTGATGTTCTGACCTGCTTTGGCCCTGATCGTCAGGAAGAATCTCGAGCACCAGAAAGTACCGAAACACGAGGGCTTTCACGAGTCGGGCACTGGGAGGCGCTCGTCCGACACTGTGTCGACACTGTCTCGACACTCTTTCGGCACTTTCCCTGGTTCTCGAACTCATTTGTGGGATGTGGTCCTTGGGTAGGATGGGAGCAACATCACACCACAGCGTGTTCTTGGCATCGCTCGGGCGTGCGCATTTTTTCTCGGGGACGGCCATCGAGAAGCATCTGGGACCACCTTGCGAGGCAATGCGCGCACGAGAGCGAAACCAAAATGCACGGGGAAGGGACGTCCGAGCGATATGGCTGGCGAAGCTTTGGGACGGCCGCGCCCACCCGCGTCCTGCGGCAGGCGGAGGTCCGGACATGCTTGCGTCGTGATACGACACGACGTGCGGTCTTGGGCCCCAGGCACGATCGCGCCGTAAGAAAATCCGGGCGGCAAGTTTCTTCCTATGTTCGGCCCCGGGGGGCCTTCGCCGGGCCTCGGGACCGTCAAAAAACGAAGCGGGATGGAATCTCGGTCCTGGGGAAAGTGTCCGGACTTCCGGGAACGCCCTCCTATAGAGGGCCCTCGCCTGGCCTATAAAACGACACGAAGATCGGGACAAAATCGGATCGGGATAACTCGAAATCTCTGAGAATCGGCGGGTTTGGAGGATGTAGTGGGCGCCGCGGCCGCTCCAGAGAGTTCCGAAACGCTCTGAGAGCGCTCCGGAACGCTCTGGAGCGATTTATCCCGATCCTAGCCCTGTTTTAGGGCCCCAGGACCGTCGGCGGACGACTCGGGATGGAGAACCGGCCCATGGGAAAAGGGTCGCGATTGCCCGGGCCCAGTGTGCAAGGACAGGGAACGTCGGAGTCTTGCGGCAGGAGGACGAGGAGGAGGAGGAGGAGGAGGAGGAGGAGGAGGAAGAGGAGGATGAAGACGAGGAGGACGAGGACGAGGAGGTTCACATATACATATATATATATACATATATATATGTATATATATATATAGATTACATATGTATGTAGGTTATGTAGGTATGTATGCTTGTATGCATGTAGATATCGTTCATTCCGTGTCTGCCCGGGGAGCCCGCGCCGCGCGGACGGTGGCGGTTATGCGGTCGAAAGAAAAAAGGAGGGGGCGCTGTCGCGCCAGGCGGGCGTCGTCGAGCGCAAGAAGGCGGCCAGCCTGCACAACCCCGGGCCAAAGGTGCAGGGGAGGAGGGGGGAGCTCGCTGTTTCGACTGCGCACCCTTCGCCGGAGCGACCCTTGGTGCGCGCCCACTGGGGGTTCCCCGATCGCCGAATGCGATGTACAACAGCGGCTTGCGTGGGTTTGACCCCCCCCCCGCGCCCCCCTGAAGCCGCGCACCAAAAGTCACTCTAGGGTCACTCTCGCCTGCAGCCGATGGGGCGGGAGGAGTCCCGGCCACCGGGGCAGCGGGGGAGGGTACAGTTACAGCGCAGTCCTCGGGCCTCCACGCGTGCCCTGCCCTCCGCTCCTCGGCGGAGGCCCAGCGGATATGGGGGCCACGTGCGAACCCTACCCCTATCCCCCCACGATTTTTGAGGGGGAGGGTGGGGTTCGCTTCGCTCGGGAGCTCTCGAACAAAGTGCCCCCCCCCCCCTCAGAAATCGTGGGGGGTAGGGGTAGGGTTCGCACGTGGCCCCCTAGCTGAGGCAGCGGCAGCACAGCGGCAGTGGGCCTTCGGGGGGGGGGGCGGCGCCCTCAGCGCCACGGCCGGGCGCGGCTCGAAAAGCGGGCGCGCCTGGGCCCTGGGAGGGGCTCCGGCACCGCATTGTTGAGGTGCCGCGGCCTCAGCTCGCCGTGCCCCGAATCCCCCTCGTTCCCCATGCTGTCCCTCCGTCCCCTTCCTCTATAGCCTCTTCTCTCTTCCCCCCTGCTGCTCCCGCTGCTCCCGGCGCGCCCGCGTCGTTGCCGCCGCCGTGCGCCTGCGCAGCCGCTGCGGCTGGAGCGCTTCGTGCCCAGGCCGCGCCCTGCTTGGCCAGCTGGGTGGGCACGGCGGCGAAGCGTTGCCCTCGGTGGAGCCGGTGGTTCGACTCGCACGTCGAAGGTGGCGCGCGGGGCCCGCAGCAGCTGGCGCGGGCTATGCGGTGCGGCAGCTCGCCGTGCCGGGAGGGCGGCGGAGCCGTGAGGCCGGCCAGCGTCGCAGGCGCGTCGCTGCTAGGTCGCGGGGCCAGCGGGTCGGACCATGAGGCGGGTCGCAGGCCTGCGGTGGGGCGATGTATATTGCGGCAAGAGAAGTCGGGGGAATCAAACCTGTCATAGGCTTGGCTGCCTCGATACGCCCGTTGTGAAACGCAACGCGTGCCGTTCTTAAAACGTCCGTGTCAATGCGTTGCGTGTTGGCTCCGCGTGTTGGACCACGTTTTGGCGAATGTATCGCGTCGGACCTACATGTTCAGCCTTCGTGTTGAGCTCCGTATCAGTACGACACATGCTGCGCGCTGCGTGTCGGGGCAGCTGAGGTCATAGCTCACAGCATAGCAGTGGAAATGCCACGAACACGTCACCGAGCACGCAGCGTTGGCCTAGAGTTGTTCCTCTTGGTCCCCGGTGCCCCCCCCCCTGGCGTCTCCGAGCAGAGCCCCCTCGAGCGGAGGCCTTCCCATGCCAGCTCCTGGGCAAGCCCCACCAGGGTGAGATTCAGGAGGGGAAGAAACACACAGACACAATGAATCGGCGATTCCCAGAAAACATGGGGAAATTCGGGAAGTGGGGGGGGAAGACAAAAACCCGGAAAATATGGGAAAAGATGGGAGATATCATCATGTGTGTGTATTTATTTGTGTGTGTCCCAGTGCCCCTTCAGAGATGGGCAGGCCGGGCGGGCGCACCCTCACGGGCCTAGCGGGGGCAGGTCGGGTTTGGAGAGCCCTCATGGGCGGGTCGAGCTCACACCTGCCCTCGTCCTCGCAGCCTTCCTCCGCCACCTGCGACGGGTTAAGATTTGTTCCTCCCACCTGAGCCTCCTCCCCTTCCCCTCCCACTTCCTCACCCCACTTTGCTGCTTCCCTCCTCCCTACCCTCGCTCCAACTCGATTGCCCATTCGCGCCCCTCCCTCTCCCGGCCCTCTCTCCCTCCCTCACTCTCTCCCTCGTCCTCCCGCCCCCCTCCTTCCTCCCTCCCTCGCCCCTCCTGCCTCCTGCCTCCTCCTCGTGCTCCGCGCCCTCCCCTCCTCCTGCCTCCTGCCTCCTACCTCCTCCTGGCCCCTCCGCCCCCCCCTGTGGCCCGAAGGCGCGGCATCGGCAGAGCGAGACCCAGACGCAGCCTGCGCCCGCGGTGAAGGAGGTCACCATCGACGACCTCACGGCGGCGGACCGGCGGCAGGCGCGCCCGGCGTCGCCGCCGCCACGGCACAGTGGGCTCGGCATCGCTCGGACGTGTGCATTTTTTCTTCGGCGAGGACCATCGAGAAGCATCCTCGATCATTTGGCGAAAAAACCACGCACGAAACCAAAAAAAGCACAGGGAATGGACGTCCGAGCGATGGCGAGTGGGGGCCCATGCCAAGAAACACCCGGCGTCGTCGCCGCCATGGCACGTTTCGGGGGTGATGACTAGGGGGGGTGGATATCATGGCGGGGACCATGGTATTTCCCCAGATTTCATGGTGCCTCTTCTCATTTCATGACGTCCCTGGCCCCCCCGCTGGGCCGCGCACATGCCGCCGGCCATGATTTCCACCCCCCCCTCCCTCTTGGACACCCCCCTCTTGGCCGCTCCCGAACAGTGGGGGCCCATGCCAAGAAACACCCGGCTTGCCTCCAGGGAGCCCACGGGTTTCCTGGGGTTCGATGGCTCTGCCGCGGGAAGCGTGGCGTCCCCACGCCAAACATCGAGGCACGTCCTGGGGTCGCAGGGCTGGGCTTCTCGTGGAGGAGAAGGAGTAGAAACAGAAGGAGGAGGAGGAAGAGGAGGAGGAGGAGGAGGATGAGGAGGAGTGGTCGGGCCCCTGCTGGTTTCTTGCGGGGGGTCTCCTGTGGGAGGTTTCTTGTGGACGGTTTCTTGTGGTGCCCCCGCCGTCGGAGAACGTCAAAGCCCCCCTCCCCCTCCCCCTCCCCCTCCTCCTCCTCCTCTCCTGCTCCTGCTCCTCCTCCTCCTCCTCCTCCTCCTCCTCCTCCTCCTCCTCTCCTCCTCCTCCTCCTCCTCCTCCTCCTCCTCCTCCTCCTCCTCCCCTTCCTCCTCTCCCTCCTCCTCTCCCTCCTCCTCCTCCTCCTCCTCCTCCTCCTCCTCCTCCTCCTCCTCATCCTCCTCCGTCGGCTCTCGGAGGAGGATCGGGGGACGAGATCCCAGGGCTGGACCTAAACGGTGTTTCTGGTGATCTCGTGGGCCGTTTTCGTTTCGGCTTCGTTTTGCGGTAGAGGCGGATTCATGACGAAAGCGAGGGAAAACGCAAACAAAACGAAAACGAAAGACACCGTTTAGGTTCAGCCTTGCGAGATCCATTATACACACACACACACACACACACACACGCACACGCCGCCCAGTGCGAGGCCCACCTTGGGCTTCAGGATGGGCCTGGCAATATGGTTTAAGGAATCGGTCGCGCATGTCATTGTGAGTGTGCATGTGTGCGTCCAGTCGTTGAAGGTAGGTGTTTGGGGATTCCCAGATTCCAAGTCTCATTGAGGCGCCTTCCTACCTCAGTGATCGAGTGGCTTCACCTTTTCCGTCCTCCTCAGGGGCGGGCGGAAACCCAATCTATTTTCAACGCTTTCCTACTTCATGTTTCTACCTCCTTTCTACCTACCTCTTCCGATCGATAGGGCACGCGGGCTGCCTTGCCAGGCCGTTCAAGCATCTGTACGCAACACAAGGTGGGTGGGTCGCGGGGAGGGCGGTTCGCGAGCTCGACAGCCAATGTCAAGAAATACCCCGCAGGCGGTGATTATTTCCAGTTCAGTGTGGATGGGCTGCGGGCGTGGTTCGCGGGAGGGTCGCAGGTGGTTCGCTGGTGGGTCGAGGATGGGTCGCGGGGGGCTCGCGGGTGGGACGTTGATGGGTCATTGGTGGGTCGCTGGTGAGCCGCGGGATGGGGTCCGCAACGAGACTCGTACTTCTGAATGCGCACCGCAGAAACTGCGCCTCAACCGCACCCAGGGGCAGTGCAAAGACGTGTCGACCCCTCATTTGGATGCAGGAATATAGATGTATGTAGCTGCATCTGCCCCTACACATATGTGTATGTGTGTACCGCTGTGTGATTGCCCATACATCTGTGTTTGTCAGTATGGACACAGGTCTATACGTGCATAACTGTATGTGTGTATTCAGACATGCATGCATGTACGCATGTGTGTACGATTGCATGCGTGTGTTTATGTATGTATGTAGGTAGGTAGGTAGGTAGGTCGGCAAGTAGGTACGTAGGCATGCATGCATGCATGTACGTTAGCGTGGTTGTATGCATGCTGCAAGTATGCATGTATGTGTGTATGCATGTATGCATGTATGCATGTATGCATACATACATGCATGCATGCATGGAGGTATGCTGACAGATAAGCATGTATATATGTGTATGCATGTATGCGCCTATGTTTGTTAGTGTAACGGTACGTGTGTGTGCGTGCATGTATGTGTGTATGGTTGTGTGTATGTGTGTATGCGTGCATGCATGCAGTCATGCATGTATGCATATGTATATCTGTATGGATGCACACATGCACGTATGCATACATGAACGTATGTGTGTATGTGTAGATGTATCTATGGATTTGGGCATGGTTGTATGTATATGTGTATGCATGCGTGTATGTATGTATGTATATGTGTATATACGTATGGATGCATGTATGTATTGATGTATGCATGTATGTATGTACCTATCCGTGTGAGCATGTATGCATGCATGCATGTCTCTCTGAATGTGTGCAATAAGTTTAGATGCATGCATGCATGCATGCATGCATGCATGGCTGTATGCATGTATGCATGTATGCATGCGCGTAAGCATGTCGGTATACTTGTATGTATGTGCGTATGGGTGCGTGCATGTGTGTATGTATGTCTGTGTGAGTCTGTTTGTGCGTATGTGGTTGTATGTACGTATGTATGTATTTTCGTTTGTACGTCTGTACGTACGTATGCATGGATGTAGGTGTGTGCGTGGATGCGTGTGGATATGTGCATGCATGTACGTTTGCATGCCCGTATGCATGCAAACACGCATGCGTGCATGCATGTATGCCGGTATGTATATATGTATGGGTGTATGTATGTTTGTATGTACCTATGCGAGCACGTTCGTACGTGTGTCTGTACGTATGTATGTATGTATGTATGCATGTATGTTTGTCAGTGTGTGCGTACGTGTGCATGTTATGCATGTATGTTAGCATGCATGCATGTAGGCAGGTATGCATGTATGTTTGTGTGCATGTGTGTATGTATGTATGTATGCATGTATGTCTGTATGTTTTGCTGCATGGCTGCATGTGTGTATGTGTGCAGGTGTATGTATGTATGTGTGTTTGTGTGTGGATGCATGCACGCATGCAATATTGCATGCAGGCATATATGTATGTATGTATGCATGTGTGCCTGCACGTATGTCCGAAGGTCTGAATGTATGTATGTAGATGTGGATGCATGCATGCATGTATGTGTGCAAATGCGTATGTATTCATGCATGCATGCATGCGTGTATGTGCGTATGTATTGGGACTGTATGTATGTATGCGTGCACGTAGGTATGCACGCATGCATGCATGCATGTATGCACGCATGTATGTATGTCGCCATGTGCGCATGTACGCATGCATGCATAGATGTATGTATGTATGTATGTTTGTATGCATGCATGCATGCATGCACTGGTATTTATATTCACTGGCGTGTGCACATGGCGCGCTCCATGGAGGGGGCGGGGCGCGGCGCTGCGCGCGGCGCCGCGTCGTTTGGTCGGCCAGGGAGCCAGCGGGGTCGGCCAAGGAATTCGGTGTACAGTTGTGGAGGACGATCAATGGAGAGGAAGCATGCTGCCAAATAATTTCCAGATTTCTAAAACATTGTTCAAACATGTTTGGAATATATAATAGCATGTTGCAACATGTTTAGAGGATGGTTTACACAGTTTAAACACAATTGTTATTCAATGGTAGGATTGTTGGGGTGTCCAGTGTCGTGGCATCCACAAGTATATAGGCGCTCCAGCTGGACTGCACTCAAGAGTGACCCTTCGCCAGGGTGTCCTTTGGTGCGGGCCCACCGGGGCCCCCCGATCGGGAGTTCTCGGCGGTGAGCGAGGGGGGAAGTGAGAAGGGGCAGATCCTCTCAGAAGGCGACGGGGCTTCTCTCAGAAGTCCTTCGGCTTTCCGAGAAGTCTCCTGCGTCTTCCGGGAAGGCCCAGATGGCTTCTCAGAAGGCTGGGTGACTTCGGAGCCCTCTGAGAAGGCCCTCCCCTTTTCACTCCGCCCTCGGGCTCGCCGCCGAGGGGAGGCCGGCGAAGGAATTCGGTGTGCAGACGCTCCAGCGTTCTGCGGCTCGGGGAGCGGGGGCATCCGCACGCAGCTCCCTGGCCGACCAGACGACCTGCTGCGCAGGCGGAATCGAGAGTTAGGAGGCTTAACCTTCCCAAGGTCCCTAACCACTCTCGCCAGCTTCCCCCGAAAAGTTTCGGCATGGGCGCCCACGGGGCTTGCGCATCCTTATCGCGCATCCTTGCTTCCAGTTTCGACTGCACACTCCGCCCGGCCAGCCGGACCAGCTGTGCGTCGGCCGTGCCCCGCTTGCTCTTGGCTCGATGCGTTCTTTGGCCCCATCGGTGCGAACAAGCTTCGATGCGACCACCTGCTGGGATGCAACTCCTGCGAGGTTTAATTTCGTATCGGCGCTGGTGCCTTAGCTGGCTTAATCTCGATTCATCCGGCTTAATCCAGCTGAATCCAGTGCACTCTGGCACAAGTTCCCGGCTGAATCCAGCTCAATCTCGTGAAGTTGCCAGTAAATTGGGTGTCATGGCTGTTAAGCGTTCCAGCGAAGACCTCCAAGGAGTTGCCTCCTAAGTTACCGGACGCGCTGGCACTGTAGCGGAGGAGGCGAGCATTGCACTGGCTTGCCCCAACAGGACGGCAATTCGCTGCCTCGGTTCGGCAGCGAGCCCAGGGGGGAAGCCAGAAGGGGCAGGCCTCAGAAATCCCGGGAGTCCCCCAGCCTTCTGAGGAGTCTTTCAAGCCTTCCCCTAAGACACAGAAAACTTTTCAGGAGTCCGGAGGGCTTCTGAGAAGCCCCGACGCCTCCTGAGAAGGCCTTCTCCTTCTCACTTCCCCCCCTTGCTCACCGCAGATCGGTGCTTCTCATGCTGCCTGCTCCTCCTGGGATCGAGCCGCTTCTGCCCCGAGAGCGCCTGGCTCTGCCCGAGGGCGCTGGGGGGCCTCGCCGGCCCATGGCCGTGCAGGAGCTGGGCGCGGGCCCCTTTCCTCAGGGCGGCGCCGACATCGGCCAGCATCGGGGAGAAAAGAAACCCGAACCCTCACACCAATGCGGAGGCTTATGATGCTCCAACCTACTTGAGCCTTGATCACCAGAAAGAATTTCGAGCGCCAGCAAAAGTACCGAAACTCAAGGGATTTCACGTGTCGGGCCCTGGGAGACACTCGCCCGACACTGTTTCGACACTGTTTCGACGCTCTTTTGACACCTTCCTGGGTGCTCGAAATTAATTCTGGGATATGGTCCGTAAGTAGGATAGGAAAAACATAAGCGGAGGCGTGGCCTCACTGAGGCCCCTGTCTGTGCATCAGGGATCATGAATCTGAGCGGATTGGTCTTACACACCTGCAGAAGAGACTTCCTATCCCTGATGTTTTTGGCCTCCTATCTCACGTCGCCTCCCAGCGGGCTGGGGGTCCTATCACTAAGCTCAAGTCGGGCCTGCCCCTCTACAGGGGGAATCTCCAAACATGGTTGAAGAAATAGTCTGGAAACGATGTTCAGATTTTACCCAATATCCTAAGATGGGGTTCTTGTTATTACTTGGACGCCTCCTTCTTCTCCTCCGTCTCCTTCTTCTCCTTCTTCTCCTCCTCATACCCAGACTTACTCATACACAGACTTACTCACACTCAGATTTACTCATACCCAGACTGCCTCAGACACCAAATTACTCATACTCAGACCTACTCATACTCAGACCTATTCATACTCAGAGCTACTCATGCTCAGACCTACTCCGATTCAGACTTACTCATGCTGAGACTCACGCACGCCCCATTGGCGGCCGTTTTGTGGGGATGTCTCAAGCGGTTTGCCTTTTTTCTGTCCCAGCATCCTTCGCTGTCCGAGCAGATTTGGAGGATGTCTCGAGCGAGGCGCTCATTGTCACGTCCCTAAGGGGAGCCGCCGAGGGGTATTGCACGGTCCCGTTCGCGGCCGTTTTGTAGGGATGTCTCAAGCGGTTTGCTTGTTCCCCATATGCTAAGTATGGGGTTCTTGTTATTGGCGGACCGCGCCGGAGGAGAGAGAGAGAGACAGAGAGAGAGAGAGAGAGAAAGAGAGAGAACACACCACTCCTCTCACTCAGACCCACGCGCTCATCACTCAGACTCACTCATCACTCAGACCCATTCATCACTCAGACTCACTCATCACTCAGACTCACTCATCAGTCGGACTCAGTCATGACTCAGACTCATCACTCATCACTCAGACTCACTCATCACTCAGACTCACTCATCACTCAGGAGCAGATTTGGAGGACGTCTCAGGCGATTCGCTGGTTTCAGCACTCCTAAGGGGAGCGGCGGGGGGGTATTGCACTCGGCCCCTTTCGCTGGATTTGATTGGTATGTCTCAGGCGGTTTGGCCATTTTCTCTTCCAACATGTTTCGCTTTCGGAGCAGATTTGGAGGATGTCTCAGGCGATTCACTGGTTTCAGCACTCCTAAGGGGAGCTGCGGGGGGGTATTGCACTCGGCCCCTTTCGCGGGATTTTGTGGGGATGTCTCAGGCGGTTTGGCCATTTTCTCTTCCAACATGTTTCGCTTTCGGAGCAGATTTGGAGGATGTCTCAGGCGATTCGCTGGTTTCAGCACTCTGAGGGGAGCGGCGGGGGGGTATTTCATTCGGCTCCTTTCGCGAGATTGTGTGGGGATGTCCTATGCGGTTTGGGTATTTTCTCTTCCAACATGTTTCGCTTTCGGAGCAGATTTGGAGGATGTCTCAGGCGATTCGCTGGTTTCAGCACTCTGAGGGGAGCGGCGGGGGGGTATTTCATTCGGCTCCTTTCGCGAGATTGTGTGGGGATGTCCTATGCGGTTTGGGTATTTTCTCTTCCAACATGTTTCGCTTTCGGAGCAGATTTGGAGGACGTTCGCGCCCAGTTTGCGGGGATGTCTCAGGCGGTTTGGCTGTTATGCTGCTGGGCATCTGTCGTTTTCGGAGCAGTTTTAGGAGGATGTCTCAGGCGTTTTGCTGGTTTCAGCACTCCCAGGAGGAGGAGGAGGAGGAGGAGGGAGGAGGAGGAGGAGGAGGAGGAGGAGGAGGAGGAGGAGGAGAGGAAGAGAAGGAGGAAGCGAGGAGGAGGAGGAAGAGGAGGAGGAGGAGGAGAAGGAGGACAGCATGAACACGGTAGGAGCAGAAGCATGATGATGATGATGATGATGATGATGATGATGATGATGATGATGATGATGATGATGATGATGATGATGATGATGATGATGATGATGATGATGATGATGATGATGATGATGATGATGATGATGATGATGATGATGATGATGATGATGATGCTGCTGATGATGATGATGATGATGATGGGGAGGAGGAGGAGGAGGAGGAGGAGGAGGAGGAGGAGGACGTGGGCAACTCGAGTAGCCAGGGCCAGACGATCGAGTTTCGATGTTCCAAGGCTTCAGGTTTTACTCAAACGCTTCCGCCTCACTCTCCTTCGCTCTCCGCTCTCCTTCACTCTTCTGCATTTATACTCACTCAGATTCAGACTCAGTCACACGCAGGCTCGCTCGCACTTAGACTCGCTCATATCCATACTTAAACTGACTCACACTCAGGCTCACGCTCAGAACCACTCATACTCAGACTCGCTCCTGCTCAGACTCATCATCCTTCGGTCCGCTCAAACGCAGACCGACTCACACTCAGACTGCCTCACATCCATACCCAATCACACTCGGCCCACTCGCACTCAGACTCATTAGCACACACTTTTTCTCACACTCAGACCCACTCAAGCCCAGACTCACTCATGCTCAGACCCATCACGCTACGATCCGCTCAATCACAGACTGGCTCACACTCAGATTCGTCCGTACTCAGACTCACTCGCACACAGACGCACTCGCGCTCACATTTACTCACACGCGTACCCACCCAAACCCAGGCTCAACCGCACCCAGATTAACTCACACTCAGAATCAGTTGCTGTCAGATTTGCTATTGGTCGCACTCATGCTTGCAGATTGGTTCGCCCTCGCTGACAGGCCCTGCTGACCCTGCTGACAAGCGCCCCGACCCTGCTGACAGGCCGTCGTCGCTGGTGCTGGTCGCCCCTATCCCCATCCAGCAGGGCATGCACGGCGTTGAGGGCATTTTGGACTTGTGGAGCTCGCCCATTTTGGCGCCGCAGTGGGCCACGATACTGCGGGAAGTCACGATCACCGCAACCCCGATGGAGATGCTCCTGCCTGGTGGCGTTTTTCCTCGCCATGTTTGGCAAGGTCTGGCCATCTTCAGGGTCGGTTTCGAGGGTCCCCGCGCCCCGCCGAGGATGTTGGAACCTTATCAGCCTCTGCTGACGGTGGCGGAGCCGCGCACGCTGGCGATCGACATGCGGGCGGACGAGCTTGCGAGCACCCTCAAGCTTCTGAACCACTTCCTGCTCCGAGGGGTGGTTGCCCGCGCTCCTCGTCGGAGCCCCTCCAGCTCTGTGGCCATACCGCGTATCATCCTCGATTGCATCCTCCCGGCTGGGCTTCCTGATTTTGAAGTGCTTCTTCTCCTTCGTCGGTCCCGGGGGGGGGCCTTGGCAGGGGACACGTTCTTCGGCATGCGGTCCATGATCGCCAACTCGGACTCCCTCATCCTCGAGTTCTCGTCCACGGTGGCGCTCTCTCAATACTGGCCCCTCTGCACGGAACTGGTCAGCGTCACGCCAACCAAGGCTGTGATATACACCTCCAGGGACGCCGACGCCTGGACTCGAGCCATGGACCACGTCATGCAGATGGACACAGAAGAGACTTCCGTGAAGCTGAGGTGGAAATCGTCCAAGTACGGGGGCAAGGTGGTGGCTGTCCCCTCTGCCACCTCCCGGGGGCTCGCGGCTTCGAGGAGGCGCGGAACGGCCCCTATCTCCAAGCACGACTTCGTCGCTGAGGTGATGGTGCGCGGCGAGATCGGGCAGGAAGATGGTGAAGTGCTGCGGCTGCTCATGGCGCATGCCTGCACTGCCACCGGTCTCTCCCTGCAGGAGACCGACTACACGCGGCACCCGAAGCCCGGGGAATTCATCCACCTGGCCTCCCAGGACACATCTGCCCTCCCAGGGCGCATGCGGGTCCTGCTCGCGAGCGCCGAGGAGGTGAGGCGCTTGTACACCGCGCTCCATGGACAGGTTTTGCAGGTGGGCTCGGACCGCATCGGCGTGGAGGTCTCCAACGACCTGGTGGACAGCCGCGGCGTGCCGGGAAACGGCCGCCGGGGGAGGGCGTGAGCGCCCCTCCTCCCTGGACTCCTCAATGCTCGGTGCTTGCGCCTTTAATTCGTTTTTGGGACGCTGAAGGGGCCGCAGGTTTTCTTCTGGAGTTGGTTTGGTCCCTCCTCCCAGTTCACTCTGGGACGAGCAACTGCGACCCTCCCCGGAGTTCTCTTGTGGTCTTGCCCTCGCTTTTTTGCCATATCCCCGCTCCTGCCGCTGACTCTGTCGGCCTCTCGGGCCCTCCCCTCCACTGTAACGCTGATTCTGTGCTGGATCCCACGTTTAATTCCAATGATAGTTTGTCCGATTCGCAGTGCCCCCACTCCAATTCTGATAATTTGTTGAATTCTCAGTTTTTTAATCAGCATTATGCTTCTAATTCGGCCTCGTCCGGCGACCTCGTGTTTTGCTCTGACTGGACGCGCCCCCCTCTACCGCCGTTCTGTTTCGGCGCTGCGGACGTCCTCCCCCAGGACCCTGCGGCCGCTCTCAGGCTGGATCTGCCAAGCTCCGTGTATCGCCGCCAGCGCCTGATGCGAGCGCTGGGCGCCCTGCCACAGTCCCCGCTTCTTCCTGCTTCCCTCGCCCCCCCGCCTCCCTCCTCCTCCTCCTCCTCCTCTTCCTCCCGGCAGGGGCAGTTTCAAGGCGCTTTCAGCGTGGCAACCTGGAACGCCCAGGCTTTTTTTTGTGCAGACCAGCTCCGTTTTTTAGCCAAAGCAGCTCACCTCCAGAAGCTTCTGTCCCGGGCCGACGCCGTCCTGTTGACAGAGACGCATGGCACGG